GAGAGAGAGAGAGAGGGAGGTTGGCTGTACATGTAAGAGATAGAAAGACAAAGAAGAGAGGTTAGGTTTTATATGTAAGAGTGAGCGAGATTAGGATATATTTATGATATTTTTGATAATTTTATGTACTAAATATAGAGAAAGCTTTCTATATGCCACTAGGCATAGGGACTTTATATATGTTTCTCTCTCTTAGTCGTCAGATCTGAATGAATGACTGGGATATCTTCAGTCATAGTGTCACAAGTGAGCCTTGACTGTTTAATCTAGATCTAACGGCTTATAGAATTTTTTTTTTAAATTTTTTTTCTACAAATCAGATGATTATAAAATTTGGTGAGTGTGATCATCTCAATGGGGTGCATCAAACAAATATTTCAGGGGCATTTTGATTTTATTTTTCAAGAAAATATTTTTTTAATATTTTTTGTATGTGCGAGCTTATAAGAGGATTCGATGCCCCAAATTTTACGTCAATATGATTTGTAGAATTAAAATTAAAAATAAAATAGTATTTAGGTGTGACATTGTGATTGGTGCCATCTCATCCGTCCATTTAGATCAGACAATTGGGAGAGGGGTGACATATATAGATTCTAGGGTTGGCAGTGGACCTGTCGGGTCCGGGTAGGGGTCCAAGTGTTGAACCCGCGGGTAGGATCCGGGTCCAAGCTAGCATACCCAGATACTCCTGCCATACCCGACCCGACCTGACCTTATTATGTTTAAATTAATACATTAACATTAGTTTTACTGATTTTATATGATTTAAACTTTATTACCCATCCAAATCCCCAACCCTAAACTAAATCGTTTCGATATTTCATCTTCCCCAAACCCCAAACCCCATTGCCAAGCCAACCAAACCCTAGCCTCCCTCTCTGCAACTCTCCCTCTCTCGGAGTCGCGGTCATATCCCGTGCTTTGCAACTCTCCCTTCATCATAGTATAGACCCCTTGTCTTCTCAACTCATATGGGTGTAGTTCCTGCTTTCTTGCCTTTATGATTAAATCTCGCTTGCTCCAAGCTCTAATTTTCTTTTGGGGAAATTCAACCGGTTTTTCTTCCACAATTGCTGTTATTTTTGAAGCCATTATCAACTTTAGGGTTAATCAGAGAAGTAAGCTATTAGCATCTTCTTTCGATTTTCTCGTTAAATTCTCGTTTTGTTTCCGCTTCTTCTCCATTTTCTTTGAAGTTTATAGAGTAAGACTTTGAGAGGATCCGATTTTTTTTCTTTTAGGGTTTTCCAATGGTGATTTATACTTTTGATTGATGTTAATTTTGGCCTGTTAGTGTTTATGCGTCTATGTATGAAATGAAGCCACTGGAGTTGCAATGTCTGAAAGAGATTTCTCAGATGTATGCTGAGTATTTTTGGTTACAATCTGAATTATTTCCAGTGGTATTTCATAGTTGTTCATGATAAAATTTTTAAATTGTCAATTCTTGTTGTTTATGTTTGTTAAATATTGCCCAGCAAAAAATTGTAACCCAAGGAACGTAGACGCAGAAGGTCATAGTAATCGGGGGCGGGCACAGGTACATGTACGGGTCCTGGGTCCGCATCCATATTCCGGGTACGGGTACGGGTATGGGTATATGGACCCGTTCAGGTCTGAGTCCGGGTACATATACCATATTTCGAGTCCGGGTTCAGCAGGGCCCAACCCATTCCCGACCCGTTGCCACCTCTAAT